TCAGTGTTCCCTTGAGACAGACTTTCTTCGATCTCACAAGGTGGTGGTGGCACATGCCTTTAATCCCTCTGGGAGGCAAAGCCAGGTGGATCTCTGTGAGTTCGAGGCCAGCCTGATCTACAGAGCAAGATCCAGGACAGGCACCAAAACTACACAGAGAAACCCTGTCTGGGAGCAGGGGGGGAGGAAGCAAAGGTCTTGCACTGATGCTGGTGGCTGAAGGTGGGACAGCTGTGGCAGTGCCAAAGACAGGAACAAGTATGGTGCACAGGTTAATTCTCCCTCACACAAAACATTTCTATGAAGTATGAAGTGGTGTTTGACAGAATCTTACCCTCAGTAGGACTTCCAAAATTGGAGTCCTTTTTTCTGAAATCTTGCTGTTGCTTTATCAACTAGCTTATGTAATAATCTAAGTCTCTGGTCATCTCAGCGTTCTCAGCATCTTCACCAGGAGTAGGCTTCATCTCAAGAAGTCACTGCTCATCTGTATGAAGCGGCTCCTGTGTACCTAGTGGAGCACAACAGTCACTTTATTTTATGAGGCAGTCACACTCTGTAGAACAGGTCTGTCCTGAACTTTCAGCAGTTTTCTTTCCTTGGTCTCCCACGTGCTTGGGTTAACAGAGTGAGCCACAGTGCCCAGTTGTAAGGTTCCAGTTCTTAGTTGTTTCACCAACTATACGGTCACCCCATCCACTCAAGCCCCGAACCACTCAAAATCAGTTACCATAGGACTTAGAATCAATTTTCCTCAAACTCCACTTATACTTTCTCCTGTAACTCACAAATGTTCTTCATGGCATCTGGAAATTCAAATCCTCTCCTGGCTTTTAGTTGACTTTGCCCAATTCCACCAGAAGAGCCACCACCCGTGGCATCTGAAGTGTTAGAAAATGCATCCCTTAGGACTTAAAGTCAAAATCACCCCTTGACTTTTTCATTATAGTTGTAATTCCAGAGTACAACCTCATCAGAATTCTAAGGTAACAAGGACATTGGCAATCAACAATATTTAGAAAGGAATCTTATGGCCAGTAAATTTCAACAGCAGGCTTAGTCAGTAAACTCTGTTGTAAACAGATATATGGTCACCTGACTTTGTTGTTTCATTTATATAGCAGCTTAGAATTTAGTATAATTCTTAAAGAGTCCAAGTACTTCTATCCTCTTCAGCCTGGCATTCATTGTTGGCTCTAACAGTCCCAGATTGCTATGGCTCTCCAAGATAAGGTTGCTTCGTCTACAGTCAGTCTTCATGGCCCTTCCCAGGGCCTTTCTGAAAACTTGCTGCAGCTTCTATGACAGCATTGTTATCACCTTGCGTTCATGTTGTAGAGATGGGTGCTCGTTCTCATAGAATCTCATAAACCAGTCTCTGCTCGCTTCAAACCCATGTTCTACAGCTTTCTCTCCTCTCTGAGCCTCATAAACTCGAACAGTCATGGCCTTAAACTGGATTACACTTCGGATTAAGGGAATGGTACATCTGCTTTGATCTTCTAACCAGACCCCTAAAACCTGTCCCGTTCCAGCAAAAAAGCTCTTTTACTTTTTTGTCACTCATGGGTTCACTGAAAGGTTGTACTTTTACTTCCTCTCAAGAATTTTTCTTTGCATTTACAACTTGGCTGTTTGGCAAGGAGCCTCACTTTTGGCTTAGTTCTTTCTCCACCCCTTAAAAAAACGAAACAAAACGTGTACGTGTGCTTATGTGTGTAGTTCCATCTTTCTCCTTCGTGGATTCTGGGGATCAAATTCAAGTAGGTTATCAGTTTCAGCAAGAAGTACCTTTATTCACCGAGTCATCTTGCTAGCCCTGGCTTAGTTCTTTTGACATACTTCTTCACTGAATTTAGTTATGTCCTTACTTTTGATTTCAAGGGTGAGACATAAGACTCTTCCTTTCACTTTAGCACATAAGAGGCCACTGTATAGTTGTTAGCTGGTTTAATTTCAATGTGGCATCTCGGGATCGGAAGGTCTAGAGAGGAGAAAGACTAGGTAACAAACGTCAGGGAGCAGTCAGAAAGACATGAGTAGATTGAGTTTGCAGTGTGCTATGGGATAGCAGGAAGTCCCCAAACACTCAGGATGTGACCAAAATGATAGAGTGATAATTATTGTTTGAAAAATAATTACTGAAGTGTGACAGCTATTAATGACCAGGCACCATTGGAAAAATGGCACTGATAGTCACGTTTGACCACCATTACCACAAACCTTCTATTTGTAAAACATCCAAAATTATCTTCAAAGCACAAAAATAAAGTGATAGATGCCTTTACACAACTTTTTTTCTTGTAACATTCCATTAACTACTACTAAGGATATTTTATAACTTCTAATGTGCTGCTCTGGGAAATGGTTATTCAGTTTGATCTTTCTCTAATAACTTAAAGTCATACTATCTACAGGGACACTGACATACCTCTCCACAGATAATTTCTTCTAAATCTGCTTGCCTTTTTAACTGGCTAAGGTCCTCTGTCACAAGACATTCAAATGTCTCTCTCTCTCTCTCTTTTTGTTGTTTTTGTTTTGCTTTTTTTTTTTTTTTTTTTTTTTTTGAGACAGGGTTTCTCTGAGTAGCCCTGGCTGTCCTGGAACTCACTTTGTAGATGAGGCTGGCCTCGAACTCAGAGATCTGCCTGTCTCTGCCTTCCAAGTGCTAGGATTAAAATTGTGCTCTACCACTGCCTGGCTAAATTTCTTGTTTAATAAAATATGTCTGTCTTCTCATCCGGTTAATAATACCATTTCCACTTTAAAGCTGTACAAAAACATTTCTTGAAATGTCTTTATATTGTTTCAGTTAATGAGATCTATTTGAACGTTTTTGCTGTTAAAAAAAAAACAACTAAAACTCATTTTTAACAACAGAAATGTAGACGAGGGCTAAATGCTTAATTAGTTTAGACCCAATGCCTTTATAAAGTTCTGGTAAGCACAACAGCAAATTTTCTGTCTTACCTAAAAGCAAAGAGTGGAACCAAAGTGGGGAAAAGTAATGAGTGTTTCAAAATAAGAGAAATCCTGTAGAGCATGAGACAGGCTGTGTTAAAAAGTCTCTGTAACAATGCTGGTTTCCGAGGGCCACAGTGTTGCTGGGGCCATGCTGATCTGAGTGGCCAACACCACCAACTGAGGCCATGGTGACATCTGGGTAGAAGCTGCTGCCAAAAACGTGTGGGTCTGTGGTCCTACTGCAGCCTGGTTATATGTTGTTTGTGGCCTGGATTGGCACCAAAGGTCACATGGATGCCCAGGGTCTGAGTGGCTACCTGTGGTCACGCTGCTGAGGCCCATGCCAATCTAAGCAGCCTATGCTGCCACCTAGTTCCATTGTGATGTCTGGGCCAGAGCTGCTGCCGAGGGCCATGTCTGGGTCTATGGCCCTACAGAAGGCCCCAAAGTCTGCTTTGATGTCCATGGCTTCTGTTATCACGGAAGGCACTTCAGATAGCTGAGGTCTAGTCAGACACCTGAGGCCACATTGGTGTCCTTGGGCCATGCTGCCACCAGGGCTATACTGGTCCGGTTGGCCTGCGCTGCCACCAGTGCCATGGTGATGTTCAGGTCCAAGCTGCACCCAAGGGTCATGTCTGGGTCCATGGTCCTGCTGCAGTGGGGATCGGACCTCTGTGGCCCAAGAAACCACAAGGGACCATAGCGTTGTAATCCAAGGGCCTGCTGAGCCAGCCCCGCCCTTCACTGGCTGCTGCAACAGAAGCTAGGCCAGCCCCTTAATGGAGAGCTGGCCCCACACTTAGGAGAGATGGCCCTACCCCTCACTGCCCCAGAGCCATCATCTCTCACGGCCCTGATGGTAGGGTATAGAAGAGCCGGCTCTAGCTAAGGGGACAGCCCCTGCAGGACTGACCAAATCAGTTGCTACCCAAAACCACATCCAGGGTTTTGGGTTGGCCCACCCCAGCATCTACCCCATCCATGACCTGATGCAGTGTGAAGGGACTAGTCATGCGGAACCATGGCCCCAGGATCTCCATGACTCAGGGCAAAGGTGGGATATCTGGGAGGAGTTTTGATGAGGGTCCAGTGTTGAGGTACCAGAAGCCAGAGGCCTTGAACCAGACCAACAACCCACTACAATGAAATTTGCAAGTAAAGGGGAGCAGACAAAAGGGTATACTGCAAGACACACCACAGCTCCCAAGGCCACTAAGGCAAATGAAGAAGTGTTGGAGAGGTGGGAAAGATGGAGGAACGAAGTGGGGTTTTGTTTGTTTTTAAAAGTTTTTAAGTTTTCTTTTAGGGGGGATGCTATGAAGGTGAGGGGCAGACATGGAGGGACTGAGAAATGAGTGAGATTGGGGTGCATGATATGAAATTCCCAAGAACCAATAAAAAATTATGTTTAAAAAAAAAATCTCTGTAACAAAGCCATCCTCAGAAAACAAAGCATTTAAGTGTATTTTGATGTGTTCATTCCATTTGTATGAATAATGAAAATGTAAGTATATGTGTATTTATCTTTATACATTTCAATTATTTTTATTCCTATCTGTAGTTGTTTTAGAGAAAATGGCCCCAAAAGGGAGGCACTATTAAGAGGTGTGTGTGGCCTTGTTGGAGGAAGTGTGTCACTGTGGGGACAGGCTTTGAGGTCCTTTTGCTCAAGTTCAGTGTGAATCTCGGTCTACCTCCTGTCAACATGTAGCAGCTACCTCTCCAGCACCATGTGTGCCTGCATGCTGCCATGTCCCACCAGGATGATAATGGACCAAACTTCTCAACAGTAAGCCAGCCACCACAATTAAATGTTTTCCTCGTAAGAGTTGCCATGGCAGAAACCCTAAGACACAATCTTTAATGATTATCCATTAAGTAATAAAGACTACAGAAAAGAATGACAAGGTATTTGAGGAAGTTAAATTCTCTCTACAACTGTCACATATATAGAAATTCTGAAATTCAAAATGTCACATACTTAAAATCAACTAAACTGGCAGAAACACAACAAAAGCATGCGAAAAAAATCACTACATGATTGTTTATTTAAAATATGACTCTGGATGTAAATACATATGGGCTTACATAATGTGGTTATTCATATAAACCCTCGATTAGAATGCTCAATAGTTCATACCCAAAGCCTCTTGTTTTTAATAAACACGATAAATTTCCTTTCTTATGGAAAGTGTTTAAAGCCTTTTGAATCTTGATTTGTGAAGAGATTACTAAAAAATAACTTAGCTACAACAAAGAATAATATTGTTTGCAATGTTGTCACAGATTTCTCTATTGTAAAATAGTCATATATTGTTATTGCACAATTTACAGGTACAGGTTACTATGTGCATATAAACTCTCTATAAGGACAGTGTTTTCACTGTAACTTGCTCACTATATTTAAAATTATGAAATACAATTTACAAAACCTTTAACAATATACTTTTATAATAAAAGTATCCTGAGGATATTACAAAATTCATTTACCAGCCCTTCATTTCTTTGCTTTGACTCTTTAATTCCAAATAGTTTTCCATATTTCCTTACATAAAAATGGTCAGTTATAGTTCTAACTAAAAATAAATTTAAGCTAAGTCATATATAACTGTCCCTTAAACACTTATCCCCATCTACTGCCAGTCTCATTGGCTAAAAATCAAGTATTTATCAAGTTTTTTATAATTCTGAATCAGAAAAGACATAGCATGAAACAGACAGAAATAGGGTTAGCATATTGAATTAGAAGCATTGTAAATTTTAAATATTTTGGTCAAATTTTATAATAAAATAATATATTTTGGCAAAAATAATAAAATATAAGGTTTATTTCCTATCAATGGTAGATCTGAAGGGCACTGTACATTTATAAATACTATCTATTTAATTTGACTGTTTTTACAATGTTTCTAAAAACACTGCTATAACATTTTCAGAATTTTGAGACTAAATTAGCCTAAAAAGAAATAAAATTAAAACACAATTTAAGTAAAATGTCTGATAATCAAAACTGGAAACAAATTCATAAATGTAAATGCCTTGTGTGCCACATAACATCTTTATTGCCTACTGAGACTTATTTAATATCTTTAAAATAGTAATCTTTGAATTCTTAAATTACTTGAAAATTAAAGTGATAATTAAAATAACAAAAAAAGTTGCAAGAAGAGTTTTATATTTGTGGCAGGTGTTATGGCACTAAACACATGAAAAAAACTTGTAGTTTCTGTTTGTGTATATACAATATCAAGTAAGATGTGTAAGATATATATATATATATACACACATATGTACATATATATACATACACATAAATACATTTACATACACACATCTGGGCTATAGAAGGGGAAGAGGAAAACTTTAATGAACTTCTAGGCTCTTTCACACTGAAGTCCCAATAGCAGTTTTAATGGAGATTTCTTATCTTACCTATATATAAACTTCTCATTATTAACAGGAAAAGAATTATGTCTGTGTGATAACGTATTGAAAATGTAGTCAATAAGTGAGTATTATTTCGGCACCTGTCTTAAAGGGTTTTCCTGTCAATGGAATTCATGCAGTGGGGTCTGCAGAAGGGTTTGTAACAATGAGAAAACAAAGTTCCTTTAACATGATGACATATTTACTAAAATATACTATAAATAGTATGACTACAGCATTATTTATACATTCTAACATTCTATGTTAGGCAATAGGATCTAACTGAGTGACTTGTAACTTTTAAGGCATCAGTGCATCAAGGGCAAAGCTACATAAAATAAATATGAGAAGAAGAAAGCATTAGCTTATCCTTGGTACAAGGGATTACTGCATACTGCATCCGTTGGCCACGTTCACAAAGCAGGTCATAAATCATACACCCTCTTGTGAAAATGTTACAGCATCAATTTTACATCATTCTTTAACACCTCGTTTAAAGGGCTAAACTGATCCGGTAGTATCCTCATTTTCATTGTTCCATCAGCTCCACAAGAGAAAATGTGATTTGCTGGTCCTGTCTCAATTTGCATGACTCCAGTTCCAATATTTCTAAAAATAGACTGCCGAGCATGTTCGTTGATAAAAGTATGGAGAAGACTAAAGGTAGAAAGACTCCAAATCTGAAAGATATGAAGGACAAAATGAAAACTTGGGCTGGTGATTGACTTAAAAATTCAAAAAAAAATGTAAACCTGCCTTCCTGTGCAGGTAAGATATTTCTACAACAAGGATGGAGAGTACTATAATCACAGCCTCCTGATTCTCTATGGGCTGTAGCCATTCATCAACTGCTTTTATTATTACTCAAAGTCCATCCAGTGAGAGCACAAATTATTAACAATGCATTGAAGATGAGACAGCCTGGGTACAAAGAACAGAAGCTTGCATCAGTGACTATAATCAAGGTTTTGCTGTGTAGCTACTATGGGGTATTACTTCCTTGTAATACTGAATACTCAGATATCAGAAAAGATGCAAGGATGAAAGTTAACTGACATCTAGAGGCTCTCTACCCCAGTAAAGCTTAGACAAAGTCAATTACTAAAATTCTACAATACTAATTTCTAAAAGTTTCTAGTATAAGCCCTCATCAAGACATGTGTCTGTTTTAAATCAAATCCCAAATGTCTTCTCTCATTAAAGCCCTGTGTGGAAAGGCCTTCAGGATATCTGTTTTCCAGTTTGGAGAAAGCAATCTACTTTCTGGTTTTTGATATCACTTAGGGGAAATACCTTTTTCTCCAATAAATAAATAAATAAATAAATAAATAAATAAATAAATAAATAAATAAATAAATAAATAAATAAACTCATCAATTCACACTACTTTTATATGAATTTGTTAAATTATGCCTTTTGAACTTTATTTTCTGTGGATGGATGACTTACTACACATATGTATGTAGATCACAGGGGTGCTTGATGCCTGAGGAGGCCAGAAGTTACAAGGGGTTGAGAACTACATGTGGGTGCTGAGAATAAAACCTGGATCCTCTGTAAGAGCAGCCTGTGCATTTAAGCACTGAGTAATCTCTCCAGCCCCGGAGTATATATTTTCAAATATTTTAAAATCTAAACTCCAGAACTAGTGTAGAATCTAAGAATAGCTGATGTAAATCAGTTTGTCCTACTCCAAACTAAAGTCTGTTTGAGGTACACTATGCAGGCACAGGGAAGAAGGTAATGCAATCACACTGCTGTGTCACAGCAAGACCACTACGTTAACTGGGACCAACATGGCCAACTCAGATGATGTCTAACTGTCCCTCTGCTTGGCTACACTGAGATTTCCAGATCAACAGTGGGCAAAATGGCCTGCTTCCACCATGTATCTGATGTCACAACACACCCAAAAAACCCTATTAAGTACAGAAAAGGGGAGAAAACCCTATTCTGGCAAAATCCAGACCCATTCCCAGATTTCCCTATAGCCCTTCACCTCATGAACAATCCCTTCCTCCATTCAGGTTTGTTCATTATATGAATTATCCAAAATCCTAGCCATGTGACACGATTTCTTAAGTGTGTACTTCTACTGTGTTATGAAACTTCTTCTCGGTCCTGTGCTTTGTCTGTAATTCTTTCTCTAAGGGTGCTAAGAATTGGGAAGTTAACAGGTGGAGGTCTAAATTTTCTCTTTCTGAAACCCTGAAAACCTTTACCGGCAGCCACAAGCTAAAATTAAAAAGTGGCTTCAAATCAGAGAAAAATAATTCTGCTGGGATATATAATTTTTTAAAAAAGAGTACTTTGGGGCTGAGGAGATGACTCACTGGTTAGGAGCACTAGCTGCTCCTCCAGAGGACACGGGTTTGATTTCTAGCACCTACATGATGGTTCCCAACCAGCTGTAACTCCTGTTCCAGAGGACTCAACACTCTCTTACAGGTTCTGCCAGCAACCAGCAACTGTGTGGTGCATGGGCACATGTGCAGACAAAACTCCATCAAACACAACAACAGTAACATTCCCAAGTTCTGCAGTTCTGGGGTTTTTTGGGGGGAGTTGGAGGGAGGAAAACAGTCTATCAGCTCTAAGAGAGAAATTCATCTTATTTAACATTAAATATGCTCACACTCACGTAATGGGTTCTAAAAACCAGATTCTTCACATCTATGACTGCTGACCATTAAGCATCCTGAAGACCAACTGAAACTGGCTCACCCACTTGCAATGGGCCCACAGAATCTTCCCTCAAAGTCTACAGGTATTCCTTAACGTAGAACTTCACAGCTGAGTATTTTTGAGGTGGAATCTTGCAATATACATTTCAATAAGTTATTTAATATTTTCTAAATAAGCTTCTTAATGCTTTAAACAACTTTAAAATTTAAGCACAATAGAGTTTGATAATCTGTGAACAGGGCTTATCTAGGTACATTCTTGAACCAGAATTATGGAATCTGAGTTGTTGAATATTATTTTATGAAGACAGGAGCAATGTGGGTCTACTCAGTTAACCTAGAAAATTAATTTAGTATATCTATAACAGAGCAGAGAGTCAAGACTAATTCTACTATCTGAAAAATACTTAGATCCATAGAAAATTTGGCTCTTAAGCATTAATTAAGCATATTTTAAAACCAATGAAAAAGTAATATTTCAGTTAAAAATAATTCCATTTATGAAAGGATTTATTAAATAGTAATTAGCATTGTTGGCTACAACAGAACTATTATGACTATTAAAGTAGATTATTACAAAAGATATGATTAAAGGCCCAAGTTTCTAAATTTTTTCATATTATTAATACGATGGCATCAACTCTGTTTACCTTTATATTGCCTTCTGCAGATCCTGTAACAAAGTACTCTTCAGTTGGATCAACAGCAATGGCTTTAACAGGGGAATCATGGCTCTGAAAAAGCTGCCTCTGTTGCCGTTGTCGAAGGTCAAATATACACGTGAAACCTTTTCTGCCACCTGATATTAGTAGTTGATGTTTGGGAGCATATGCTAAAACTGTGGCTCCACTATCATGGCAGGTAAAAGCTGAAGGTTAAAAAAAAAAAAAGTTAAAACCACTTAGTAATAAAAGACCACCTTCTATAAGGTGGTCAAGATGGAATAAATAGACTTGCTTTCTAGCCCAAGCTAATTTAAAAACCAAATGCAATATAAGAAATGATTTGAGGTATCAGGCATGAGACAATGAAGAATGATAAGGAGAGAAGGAAATATGGGTAGCCATAGTGTTGTTTCAGCAAACTGCCTACAGTTTTGTGGTCAGAACATAAGGAAACTCAAGTTGAACTGGACTCAATACCAGCAAACAGTTGAATAGTATCTATTACATAAATGTAGCAATCTATAAATAAACATTTATAAATATTATAAATAATCTGCTAAGAACATTCCTATATAAGACTTTTTATAGCTTTCATATATAGAAAAGAGTACATACAGATGGCTCATGTAGGTCCATGTTTAATTTTACTAAAACTAAGGGGTTTTGTGGGTTTTTTTCAAGACAGGTTTCTCTGTGTAGTTTTGGTGCCTGTCCTGGATCTCGCTCTGTAGACTAGGCTGTCCTCGAACTCACAGAGATCTGCCTGCCTCTGCCTCCAGAGTGCTGGGATTAAAGGCATGTGTAACCACTGTCCGGCTAAAACTAAGTTTTTTAAGGTGGTTATAGCATTTTATGCTTCGGTCAGCAGTTGCAGTTTCTGTTCACCCTAACCAACACTTTTGAGTCTGTGGTGATATTTTATTTGTGCTGAAATGTGGTGATATTTTATTTGTGTTTTAATAAATAAAGCTTGCCTGGAGAACAAAAGAAAAAGCAAGCCATTTTAAGAAAACAAAGAAGTCAGGCAAGGTAGCACACACCCTTAATCTTATCACTTGGCACATAGGGATCTGTCTGGATCTCTGTGAGTTCAAGGCCACACTGGAAACAGAGCCAGGTGTGGTGGCACACGCCTTAAATTCCAACACTAGTTAACAATGGAGGCCTGGAGGTCTGTACACTGGAGTGACAGAGCTGGACAGGAAGAGGAAATGATGTAGGTGGACAGAGAGAGTAAATCAGATGGCAGAACAGCAAGGCGTATAGGTGTGGGTAGACAGGAAGTAACTCACATTTGGAAGCTGCTGAGTTGGTCAGGTAAGGTTGGCTGGTGGTGTTCCCTATTTCTCTGATTCTCTAAAGCTTTTACTCCTATATTTGGCTCCATGCTTATTTAATAAGACTATTTAGAAATTCATCTACATGAGTCTTTCATTTTGGCCATATTGGTGTAAATGATATTTTGCAGGACACCTAATGTGCATTTTCCTGATTATCTTTTTATATGCCTACTTGCCATTCAAATAGTGGGAAGGGGATTGTTTAAAAGTCCTTGGAAACATCATCACTTCGTTCTTAAAACTTTTTTTAGTATTATGTGTAAACATTAGTCACCAGCCCCAAGCCACCTAGATTTTCCTCCTGTTTTCTTCTAGAGGTCTGCACTTTACATGAAGAAGGAAACTCTGGAAAGTGAAGTCCGTGTCAAAGGTGCTGTTGGCTGTTGTTCTGTGTCACTAGTCAACTGTTCCAGCACTGAAGAAAAAACAACAACTGCTCTTTCTCCACTAAGCTCCTCTGTACATCTGTCTGTTAAAGTCTACGGTATATAACGAGCCCATAACGAGGCTCTCTTCTTTCCAACGCTCTATGTAACTTCTGAAAAAGCCACTGTCACGATGTTTGATTAGTGCAGCTTCACATTAATTTCTGATTAGGCAGTTGAGTCCTCTGAATTTGTTTTTCTTCAGTATTGTGTTGGCTGTTTGCTATTTTCATGTAAACTTTAGAATTCACTTATTGGTATGTATAAAACAGCTTGCTTGTATTTCATTAAAACTGTATTAAATTTATAAAGTTGGAAGGAACTGGCATTTTGAACAAAATTAAGTTTTCAAAGCTCTAAACTTGAGTCATTTTCTATATTAATTTAGATATTCTTTGACTTTTAAAATTATTTTCGTCCCTTCCCACACACATCTTGTGTGTATTTTGTTTGACAAATGCCTCAGTGAAATTATTTCAGATGTTATGATAAGCTCTTATAATTTCAAATTATAGATATTCATTGTTGGTGTAGAGGAAAGCAACTGGTTTTAGTGTACTGACCTAACACCTTGATGTATGGACCAATTAGCTCTAGGTGCTGAGGTTCACACCTAGGAGTGTGTGTGTGCTAGACAAGCATTTTCCAAATGAGCTACATCCCCAGTTCAAGATGCAAATTTCTTGACTTCTACAGTTGATAAAATGTCTTCAAAACTTACCATGGACTAAACTATTAGCAGGTGCAACTAGAGTATCCCATAGACATATGTTTCTGGGGAGATAAAAAGGATTTCTTTTTAACTGACACACAAAAAAATAGAATAAAATAATAAGCCAAAAATTAAACATAACATTTAAACTTTTTTGCTCAAAAGGTATTCATTTTTAAATATATAAAATTATATATTTAATAGATATATATAATTCTCACACACAATTTAAAAACTTAATTTATAAAACTAAGTTAAGTTTTGATTAACATGTACTTAAAAATAATACTAACTGAAGGCTGACTTTAGAAATTACTTATGCATTTACTAATTTTCTAATCTATTTACTAAGTAACAAACAAGTCATAGAAAATGCTAGTTATTGTACAGAGATGTGGGCACACACACTCATGAATCTACTGAACACAGGCCAGTCTCCAGCCCTGAAGCTACTTTCCAGTGCAATATGAAGCTTACAGAGGAGTTTCAGAAGCTCGGCAAGCTGAGTGTGTCTGGACTGTGAGCCTGGATGTTCTGCATGAGAATATAGAGGAAGAAGACAGAGCTGTTCTTGCAAACTAGAAAGCTGCTCTGACTTTCCTATTTTCTTGTGAAAATGATAATACCTACCTAGTAAGGCCATGGTGAAGACTTCCAAGTTAACTAAATAGCATGGCCAATAAATAACAGTACCCTTTTCAGCTTCAAGTTTTCTGAATATATAGAAAATACAAAGAAATGTTCATTTCACCAATAATCAAATCCTTTCTTCTAAAGTCTCAATATGAGAACATTAAAAATAATAAAGAATGGATTTTGCTTTAAATGGTACTAGAATTTCCCAAGCTTTATGCCATAAAGAATGCTTTAAATAAGATATCCTTATGATAAAAATTCCTAAGGCATGATTACTGAGACAAAGAAATATACAGCAACACAACAATTTAGTTACCCACACACAATACTTCTGTTTTAGCTACATCTCTTACCTATTGTCGGTTGAAAGACCAGCTGTAGCTATCAGAGAGGAGGAACTAACGAAGACAAAGTCATTGGCTGTCTTGTTATGACACTGCCAAGCCTGGAATGGTCATAAACAATAAAAGTTACTATTGCTAGTAAAGTTTCCGTGACAAAGTAGATGTATAACTAAAATGTGATCATGTACTTCATGTCTTTTAAAAATAATTTCTATTTTTAATCTTCTGATCTTTAAAAAGGTTGGAGAATACAAGGAACTTTCGTGGTGATTCTCCCCCTCTTTCTGTAAAAAAATATGAACAGTTCCTAAACCGTCTTTTCACTTTTGTTTAACCAACACCTTTAGAAGAAAACATACAGGGGTTAAACTTCAAATAGTTACCTATGTCTAGTTAGTGGGGGGAAAAAAACAGAAAAAACAAACAAACAAACAACAAAACTGTCTTATAAGAAGACAGAAACCAGGATTTAAGATTATCCTAGATGAAATATCTTTGTTAAGCTGACATTATGAATATTTCAGAAACATCCAAACTTTTAAATAATTGTTCAATAATAAAAAGTTACTGCTACAAAAGAGAAAGCTCACAGTACTTCGGAATATTCAACCAAACTTATTATGATCATTTCACCAATTAAAAATAGAAAAGCAGTAGTCTCTCCAAAATGTAAACTTACACAGTTTACACTGTAGCCTAGCAAAACTATGAGGAAAAGAACAGGCTAAGTCCTCTTCAAGGTATACTAGCAATGCTCCCTTGAGTTTATTTAGATCAATACTGAACTCTAACATTTAACATCAGCTGAACTGCCAGAATCATAATCTATAATCCTAATCTTTTTAACATGTATTGTTTATATTTAGTTCTGTAAAGGGAGTCAATGAAGAACAGACTAAATAGAACGTTTTTATTCTCTGAAGGCAATTTTTTTTGAAGTCTGCACAGTCTTTGACAGAGATGAAAACAAGAGTCAGCAGCAGGATGCCCTTCCTACTTTGCTCATTATGAAGAGCCAAGTACAGGAGAACAATCTGATATGTCACTGGTCTGCTTGTCATCTTAATTAGGTATCGGACTCATCTGCAGCTTAGTGAGGTTGGAAAAGTCCCAGTACTTTACATGGGTCTTTGAAGATATGGTGCTGTGCATGCTTTCTAAACTTTACTCAGTAATTTCCACATACTACAACAGGAGCCTGTAGTAGTGACTGAGTAGACAAGACTAGACATTTTATTTATTAATTTTAATACTACTAGCTAAAGCATAAGCTTTGATTTTTAAATGTAAAATTCATGTTTTATGTATATGTAGGAATTTTTAACTTACCAGATATGGCTTAGGCATGCTCCCAGTAACTGGACAACATTTCCAGTTTGTTTGGTACAAACTTAAATATCCATCAGCATCAACAATTCCAAACTTTAAAAAAAATTTAAATGATTAGTGCAAATAAAAAGCACACATTTATCCTTATACCCAATGTGACACATTATCTCAATGTTTAACATTTGACTGATAGTCTGTTACCTTTTAATTTCACCTAAGCTTCAATCTAATTTTGAACTATATTTACATATCACTTTAAGAAAACTTCCAGTGTAGCAAGAAGCAAACATCAGATACTTGGTTAATTAAAGTAGTTTGCACCATTGTCTGTAAGTCAAGTCCTTTGAGCTATTCAATACTGAATTAACTATAAGCCACACAAAAACTTTATGTAAATACAACTATAAATAAGTGTTCATTAAAAAAAAAGTCTTTCAAAAACATGCAATATGGAAATATATAAATAAGAAGACCTGGCATGGTCCTACACATCTGTGATCCAAGCATTTAGGAGGCTGAGAAAGGAGAATTGCTCTTTGTTCCAGGACAGCCTGGTCCATATAAGGAATACCATGCTACACTGGGCTGATCCTGTGCCAAAAATAAAAATAAATCCCCCTAGCACAAAACAAAAATACACAAATAACAGAAAGTAAAATAAGAATGAATGATCAAAGAATTCTTTTGCTGAATCTCAAGGTATTTTAATTGGGAAGACACTGAATTAATTAAGTATAGGAGTATATAATATCTTCAAAGGCCAAAATAGCTAACTTTGCGGGGGGCATTTTGGTGACAGGTTTTCTCTGTGTAACAGCTCTGGCTGTCCTGGATCTCACTCTGTAGACCAGAGATCCGCCTGCCTCTGCCCCCCGAGTGCTGGGATTAAAGGCTTGCGCCACCACTGCCCGGTATTTCTCAATTTCTTAAGAATTCCTCATATCACTTATTAGTCTTATTATCTTAGTTTTGCTTAGATATTCAGTCTTTTGCCCATTTCAATCTGTAATTCACAATCAAACTGATTAACATAACTGGGACACACCAAGTCTTCTCTACCATTTACTCAGGATGCTTCCTTGCTAAAGGAGAAAACAGGTTTAGGTATTGTGCTGTTTGGTTATATCATGGTTAAAGTACAAACACTAAGTTAAGTTCAAGAAACCTGGTAGGCAATGAGCTGAAGCTTCTTGTACTTTAAAACAGATTATATGAAGGACTGTAGCAGCATCAATGCTGAAAAACAACTCAGACTATGGAATAAAACTGTAGAAAGATTTGAGTATTATACTGATGAATTTGGTAAGCGGTACCTTGAAGGGTTTCACAAAAACAAAAAAGATAGCACTTATTTTTGTACATATTCAATTATGTTGCTCATAATATCAAAGATGATATTTCAAAGGAACGTACATAGACTAGAAGCAACAGAATACTACCAAAGAAAATTGTAAACATACTCAACATTGAGAGGGAATACAACTGACAGTCCAAGTTGAATATTCTTATCAAAAATGTTTGTACCAGAAGAGTGTCAGATTTTGAAGGTTTCTTTTTAAATATTTGCACATAGTACACTAATCAAGCACTTAAAATCTGAAAATCTGAAATCCAAAATGGTCTGAAATCTGAACTTTATGAGCACCATAGCTGAAATTCAAGGGAAGGAAATGGCAAGAGATATTGTTATTTAGGATCTGTATAAACTTTTAGTGTAGCATGATCCAGAAGACAAACAGCAGGCTAATATACCTTTTAATACCTCTTAATAATGCTTCAGAAAAGCAATTTGAAATAAACAGCAATATGAGAAGTAACAGACAATAAAAGAATGTCTAGAGGTGGTTCATCAAACTTTAAAAAAATTAAAATATAATTTCATCATTTCTCCTTCCTTTTCCCTTCAACCTCCCCTGCTCCACTTCAAATTCATGGCATCCTTCTCTTTGATTATTACTGTTACACATATACACACAGAAATATATAAATGCAACTTGCTGAGTCTGTTCAATGTTATTGTGCATTTATGCTTTTAGGGCTGACCATTTTGTAGTGAATACCCAACTACACGGCTCGTCCCTGGGAGAGGTAAATTCTCCTCTCTCAGTAGTTACTAGTTGCCTATAGTTCTTTGTCTAGGGCCCCTGAAATCTCCTGCTTCCTCATTAGTGTGCTATTGGTGTTGTGATGTTTAGGCAGCCATATTGCTTAGCTGTCATGGATGTAGCTTTCCTGTCATTTCTAGGAGAAACAATTGCATAGCATACCTCCTACTCCCACTTTTTTCTTAAATATCTCAGTAATTACAGGTTTGCCCACCATAAAATCTTTGTCCTCCTTAACTCTCCCAGTAGAAAATACTCAAAGAAAACATAATGAACAGTGGAACTTTGATGCCAAAAAAGTTCTATAAAAGCTATGTGGCTAACTGAGTTTGATGATCTGTCATTCTATAGCAATGCTTCTCAGTTTTAAAGTGAATACAAATTACAATTAAGCAGATCTAACACACCCCAAATTGTGTTTGCTGCTTGGTGCTGAATCATACTCTAAGTTGATTCCAGGGACTAAAGAAATGGACTTTCACCACTCAAAGATATACAAGGTAGAACATTAGTCCTTTGGGAACATTTAACTTAATTTTAGTAGTGACATATGTATACCACATATCAACAGGAAGAATCAAGTGCACTTCAATGTTCATTGAGAAGAATTAAAAGAATTCATATGAAATAGTATTTTGAACATTCTCTTCAAAACTTCAAACTAGTGAATTTATACACCATCAACCTTTTTTTAAAAAACAAAATTTAATTCTTAATCGTACCTTATTTCCCTGATAGTTAAATCTCATTCTTGTAATTCTTGAATTGCCACCAGATCGAAAACAGGTTATTTGCTGAGAATGGCCCCACTCAAACATTCTGACACTCCCATCTTGAGCACCTGTCAGGTCTGCATTACAGGATGACAAAAATTACATATTCATTTTTAAAAAGTTTGAAAAAATTTGTTTCCTAACCCAATCTGGAATTACTTATCAAAGAAGTACCTAGGAAATCAATTCATTTATATAAATTTACCTTTAAAGATTTATTTCATACAAGAAAAGTCATATGATGTACTTTCATTTGACTGAGAATGTCTTCAAACAAAACAGTAGACATATTTATATTAGATTGTTATAAATTATGACTCTTCCCAAAATTATCTTAATGTCTTAAGAGCCTAAAATAAATAATTTTTATGACAAACATTTATTATAATAAATATTGGGACTATTAAAGAATCAATCTTTATCAGTCATCCTATTAATGTTTAAAATTATACATTTTCTTTTTTTTTAAATTTATTTATTTATTATCATGTATACAGTGTTCTGTTTGTATATATGTCTGCACGCCCGAAAAGGGCACCAGATCTCATTACAGATGGTTGTGAGCCACCATGTGGTTGCTGGGAATTGAACTCAAGACCTCTGGAAGATCAGTCAGTGCTCTTAACCTCTAAGCCATCTCTCCAGCCCAAAATTATACATTTTCTAAGAAAAAGTCATATTATAAATGGTTTTGAATACCATACTAAAGGGGAAAATTTCATTTCTAAATAATTCTGATAGACCTGTTATCTCAAATATATGCTAATGTCTGATAATACTACTTATAATATGGAATAATAATATATAAGTCATTAGTTTTGAGAATAAATGAGATCATTAACATAAATCACTCAAAAATATAACAAATGGCACCCAAATTATTATAACTGTTAAAATTAGTATAGAATGGGGATAATGAAAATCAATATGTATAAAATACCCAGCAAGCTGCTAACGATGTTACTGGTTGAGTTTTACTAGTTCTTTACCAAGTAAGGAATAGAAATGAATTCAGGCTGGTTTAGAATGTTGCCGAGTACTGGGTAGGGGTGAGAGGACAGCAGCACAATGTCTTGAGACTGGTTGAGGGGATGTTAACTCTTTTCTTTTCCTCCCACAGTCTTAGTTATAAATAACAAGGACAGCTGTTTAAAAACTGTTCAAGTTTTCCCAATATTATCTACAGTGCTAAAAACACTAGGCTACAATGGCTCTGGTGTATGAACAAGCCTAAACACAACTCACTATAACCAGTAAGACAAAAACTAAAGCTTCAGCTCTAATTAGTAACATCACTTTAATGAATCAAATTTCTTTAAAATTTGCTTCTGCAAACACCTTTATTATTTTCTCCTGCTAACTTAGTGTGACGGTTAATCTTTACTGCCTGGGTTTAGATTCACCTACGACATCAGTGAGGCACATCTCTGGGTGTGTTTGTGAGAATGTTTCTAGAGAGGATGAACTGAGGGAGGAGAGAAGTATTACAAACATGGGAGGTGACATCTCATAGGCCAGAGAAGCAGATGGAACAGAAGAGCAAAGCAGCTCAAAGTGATAGCACATCCTATTTCTATGGTTCGTGGCTGGCTCCCACTACCCAGATTTCTGTTCAGAGGACTCAATACTCTGAAACCATGAGCCAAAATAAATGGTTTCTCTCCTCTCAGCTGGTTCTGTCAACTATGTGGTGACAGCACTGAGAAGCTTATTAATATTTTGGTAAAGCCTTAAACCACCTGTGGTCTGATTTCATAAACTTGGTGGTGAATGTTTAAATAGCCTCTGAAGGTTCTGTTTCAGAGGATGGACACAGAGGACACTATTTTCTGAAGACCCTCAAGAGCCACAAGCAATCAGGCACAGGGGAGAGATAGCCTTATAGTTACTGCTTCTTGCTGCACATTTACAGATTACCACAAAAACATCACACTCAGATTTCAGTCCTACCATCTGGTTTGAGCATTTTCCCCAGACTAAGTCCATAAGATGTACCAGACTGAGTACAGCAGGGGGTCTCAGGTAAATCAAGTTTCAGGGAGATACAACATTGTGTGTTCTCCTAAATTCAAGTCTAGAACTCCTATTATCTCAAACTTTACCTAATTTTAGGCATAAACAATACAAAGAAAGAACCTGTGGAGGGTTTGTTTTGTTTTGTTTTGAAGAGAAATGAGTAAACCTTACCAAAGATTAATTTAAAATTCTGGTAGTTACAATAGGGACAAATCACCTATCTCTAGGACACAGTGGATAAAAAGGGATCCCCAATGCCTGATACAGTGGAATGCATCTTCTGGCTGACAAGCAGAAGTTACTGAAAAACTAGATGTGCAAGTAATAATACTCTGTATTTCTTTTCTCCCTGTTATTACTTCCTCCCTCTCTGTGTCTGTGTATGTCTGCCTATCTCTCTCAGTATGTGTCTGTCTCTGTGTGTATGTGTGTTGTTCATCCCTCCCTCCTTCCTCCCACCTGTGTGTGCACACATTAAAATCAAAAAGTGCATTACTTGTGTGACATTTTCTTCTTCTAAGTGATATTGCCAAAATTAATTCATAAGAGCTCCAAATAACTGGCTTAAAAAGAAATAGGCTCAGAAGTAAATTAAATGCTTCTTAAAATCTTAGAAAGAAGCTAGTACAAGTCTACTTCAAGCTCACAGGAACTCAGAAAATCTTTGGTAAATACAAACAAATGTGATCCAAGCCTTTTCTTCTGTGCTTCCAGGTAGGATCTGATCCTTCCCCAGCCCCTAGGCCTCCTGGTACCTCCAAGACTTTACCCATCTGTGCTGCCAGCTTATCTGACTTCATGTGTGGTTCCTCTGGAAGCTCACTTCTGTGCTGCTAGGTTACCCAGCTCCTTCAGAATCTTAAGTGTCCCCACAGTCTCTGCCTAGGCCGACTTCTTATCCTACCAGCCACCCAGATTCACTAAGATCTGACTTTATTTCCCTGCATAACCAGGCAGGCCCCACTCATCTGTATTCCATAGGTCTCTCAACTCCATATCCTTCAAATTTTACATGCCTACCTCTGCTTGACCAGAGATGACAAGATAGCCTAGGGCCATGCTTATCTTTGAATGATGACTCTTAACTAATACAATAGAAGATTCTATAACCTGAAGCCCTCAATACAAGCTCCACAGAGGAAAATGTCTCAATGGTTTTTTTTTAACTTTTCATTCATTCATTGATTTATTGATTTATTTATTTAAGTATACCGTGGAAGAGGGCATGGGTTGGAGGGGAAGAGATTTCTTCTTTTGTAGGTGTGGGATTCGTGACTTGGGGAAGGAGGGCAGTTGCAGTCAATCCAGACTGGCAGGTGGATGGTGGATCCAGCAAGATTGAGTGAGTGAGTGATTTGGAGGCCAGCCTGTTCTTTGCGAGTTATGTTTCCAGGACAGGGCCTTGTGTCGAGGGCTGACTTTCAATAGATCGGGGCGAGGGAGCTGCTCTGCTACGTACGAAACACTGACCCAATGGTTTAGCGCCAGGTTCCACACGAATGTTGAACGTGACGGGCGAGAGGGCGGCCCCCTTTCCGGCCTCACCCCGTTTCCCAGGACGAATGGCACTGGACCCCGGTCCTGACGCACGGCGGGGACCGCCACACACGGGAGTGTGACGGACCGCCAGCGGGGACCTCAATGTTTTTTTATAACTTAAATCTCTCCTGTACATTGACACACCTCCACTGGAAGAAGATAGGTGATGTGAACTAAAGGGAAGATGTAACTAACATACTACTCCGGGTGCACAAGACCCAATGAAGAAGGAAAGTAACACACACAAAAATAACAAAATGCCCCCCATAACTAATCCTAAAGTAATGACCGCCAATGAAAATGCCCTGGAAAAAACCCCAAATAATTCAAAAGTATTATAACTATAGTCAAACAACTCAAAAAGATATGTATATACACTAAAAGAACAAAAAGAAAGAGTCAAATGAAATGAACCAACCCAAGATATGAAAATAGAATTCAATAAAGAGGACTGATGAAGAGAACCAAACTGAAAAGATGATAGAAATGATAAACTCATTAATCAAAACCTCTGTGGAAACCTCACCAATGGAATAGATCATACAGAAAACCATGTCAGGGCTGGAAGACAAAGTAAAGGAATTGAGTCACTTAGTATAAGGGAAAAAAAAAAGAAAAGAAAAAGAACATGGGAGTGCTTTGGGACAGTGTGAAAAGACCTAATTTTTTACTTTATGAAGGAAATGCATACAATACTTGTGGGGTTTGATTATCAGCACTGAAAAGGTAGACTTTTTAAATTAGAAAGACTGGTTATATTACCAAGGTTTTGACTAGAATATCATACTTGAGAATTCATACAGATACAACTGTACAGCTAAGTATTAAGGTGATTTTATGTGGCCAAAAAAGCAACTTGAAATAAAACTGGCCTAGTACCATGTATACAGTTTACATAGTTCTCTTATGTGGCTGCCTTATAAGATGAATAAGGACTGCCTATCACTTCTGGAACCAAAGATAATTGGAGATCATGGGAAGAAAGGAACCCAACTCTAGGGAGACAAAAGCTGTTCTCACGCCTCTTCTGACCTCACCTTATATATCTCTTCATATACGTTACTTTATAATAACCTTTACAATAAAGTGTCAAACATAATAAAGTGTTTCACTGAATTTTGTGAATTATTCTAGCAGATTAGTCAAACCAAAGGAGGGGGTTGGGAGAACCCTCTTTTATAGTCTGTTTATAGTACAGGGGAAGTGAGGCAGAGGACAAGCTTGTGGCACTGAGCTCTTGACTTGTGGCGCTTGATTCTAACTGCAGGTAGAGAGTGTCATGAGTTGAACTGAATTAGCACACTAAGTTTATCTTCAGTGGGATAGGGTGGGTGGATGGGTGGGAAAAATCACACAATTGTGGTAAGAAGTGTTGCTTAGAACAACAGAATGTGTTTTCCCGTTTAGGATATTATAAAACTATCATCTCAATTTCTTTTCTTTTTTTTTTTTTTGTTTTGTTTTGTTTTTCAAGACAGGGTTTCTCTGTGTAGCTCTGCGCCTTTCCTGGATCTCACTCTGTAGACCAGGCTGGCCTGGAACTCACAAAGATCCGCCTGCCTCTGCCTCCCAAGTGCTGGGATTAAAGGCGTGCGCCACCGCCGCCGCCGCCACCACCACCACTCGGCTTATCTCAATTTCTAACAGGTTTAGTAAAACTCAAAAGGTAGTGGCTTAGGGTACTGGCACAGTGGTACAGTGCCTGGCTAGCCCAAGCGAGGAGGGCCTGGCTTTTAGTCCTAGCAGCAGTTTGTGAGATTTTTCAGAAAACCAGAAAGGAAGAAAAGATCTACTGATTTACCTGAGTTTCAAAGTAAGACGTTAAGAAATCTTATTTTATTACATTTGCTTTTATAATGTGCACTTATTCTTGAACTATTAGTTCCTAGAGAATGTGTTCATGACAAAGAAGAAATCGGGGGGGGGGAAGGAATCAAATGATTAATTTAATTAGCTTTAATTTTCCCAGTCTCTTTCTTGTCAGTTATAGAAATTCTCTCTTGGGTTGGGGATTTAGCTCAGTGGTAGAGTGCTTGCCTAGCAAGCGCAAGGCCCTGGGTTCGATTCTCAGCTCAAAAAAAAAAGGAGAAATTCTCTCCATAGAGAAAATATCTCATAAGATAGTAATGATTTCTTTCTTACTGAATATCTGTTGTGGATATCCTTTTGTATAAATAAAACACTGATTGGCCAATGGCAAGGCAGGAAGTATAGGCGGGACAAGGAGAGAGGAGAATTCTGGGAAGTGGAAGGCTGAGTGAGGGAAACACTGCCATCCGCCGCCATGACAAGCAGCATGTGAAGATGCCGGTAAGCCACGAGCCATGTGGCAGGATTTATAGAAATGGGTTAATTTAAGATATAAGAACAGTTAGCAATTAGCCTGCCACGGCCATACAGTTTGTAAATAATATAAGCGTCTGTGTGTTTATTTTATAAGTGGGCTGTCGGACTGCCGGGGCTTGGTGAGACCCGGAGAGAAAACTCCAGCTACAAATACCTATAAAAGCAAGTCCACTAACATCCCCAGAAGTTGGGGCTGTCTTTATGAGTCTAGGATTGATAACTTTCACTGCCAACTATTAATCTGGTAGAATACATGCAATAGGGCTGATAGAACATCAGGTCCCTTCAGTATTTCAGGAAAGCTACAGACCTTACTATAGAGGGTGAGAATATTTTTAAGCAATGTCAAATATGTTGCTTGCCAGTAATACTATTTAAACCTTGCACATAAAATGATTTTTTTTTTTTTTTAAAAGAAAGGGCACCATCCTGTAGCCCTGGATGGTCTTAAACCTAACATCATCCTGCCTCAGCTTCCCAAGCACTTAAATCTCAGGTATGTGTCGTCTACATGCTGTGCTAAATACATATTGACATCTTATTATATAAGCTTTGATGACTACTTTTCTTTCTTCAAATTTTTTTAATTGTTTTTAATTTTTATTTATATGTGTGTCTATGTGTCAAGTGTATGCTATGTGTGTGACTACACACAGAGGCCAGAAGAGGGCGTCAGGTCCCTTGAAGCCAGAGTCACAGGAGGCTGTGAGCCCCTGACATGAGTGCTGGAAACCAAATTCAATTAAGCAAGCTCTAAGAATAACTGAGATTCTTAACGACTGAGTGCCATTTATTCAGCTCCAGATATCTCTAAACCTGTATGAACTCAATGTCAAGGAAGTCAATATAATATTTTATAACAGTTTGTATTTAGTGTGAGAAGTTATTCTCTTCATATAAAAAAATCTTCGGAATATTTTTATTTGACAAAGTATGCAATTTAGATAATAGATACTTACAGCACACATTGTAATAAAGCAGAAAAAAACACAGCAGAAAAAAACACAGAACTTTGTTAATTTTATTTTATTGGACAATTGTCTATGAGAAAAGGCAATTAAAATTTTTATACATTTTTAATTATACTCATAATTGTTAAGAGAATGACATAAAAATATTTTTTAAAACCTAGGATAATTATATACTAACATACATTCCAACCACCAGTTAATCAATACTTCTAATTTTTTTTAAAAAATTTTATTTTATTTTGTTTTGGCTACAACAAAAGAAACGAGATTTCTAGAAAGAAGAACTGAAAAAAATGTATCTCCTACTTTAAGCTATTTTACTAACAACCCCTTACGACTACTATTAACATACCTGATAAGAGACAAGCTGATAAAATTAGTATAACCTCAACCCATCTATGAAAAATAAGTTAAATTGGATAAAAACTATCTTTTGATTGAAACTAGAAGCTTTCCATGAATTCCTTATACAATTTATATAAAAAAATGTAAAAATAAGAGAATCATTGGTCATCATTGTCAACTTACAGTAAGGAAGAGTTGGATGTGATGTCATTCTTCTGACATTATTAATGGCTTTCTTAGTCATCTGGTAAAAGAAGAAATATTTTATAGTAACAATAAAAAGAGGACTAGAATTTTAAGTTGTAGGGTTGGATATATGGTTCAGTCATAGAGCACTTGCTAATTATGAGTTAGGTTCTGATTTAAATCTTCAGCAACACACAGAAACACACACACCACATACACAGTTTCAACCTACCGGTTAATCAATACCTCCAATAAATACCCCTCCCCCTCCTTTTGGCTAAAACAAGAGAAACTTAAGAATCAGTCTTCTCAAGAATTTACTCCTCTCCTTTCTTGACAACTGATTCATTTTAAAGCATTCTTTTGAATGATTTAACTAGCCTGTCAAATAAGAGTAAAATAACTGTAAAATTAAAGGGAGCTATAGTTACATGTTAGTTTACATTTGTGCATTAATCTTGCAGTAAACTTTTTAGTTGTTCTTTTGGATTTTAAATTGTTTAAATAGCGTAAAGTTTGTGAAGATGTGTGGAACTGGTAAGGGTAGCAAGAAAGTAGGCCATAAGAGCTGGTAAGTGACAGGAATGGAAAGGTCCCGTGGATGCATTCTATTCCAGAACAGAAGTTGCTATTAACAAGTATTAGAACTGATCATTCAGTAACAAGATTAAGAAAAAAATTTTTTTTAATTCTCCAGACAATAAAAACTTGAATATATGACTATTACTTTAAACCTCACAACTAAGTCCATTTACTTCATTTGGGGGTAGGGTTGGGACAGAGACAGACTTTTTTTTTCCCGAGACAGGGTTTTTCTTTGTGTAGCTTTGCGCCTTTCCTGGAACTTGCTTTGGAGACCAGGCTGGCCTCGAACTCACAGAGACCCGCCTGCCTCTGCCTCCCGAGTGCTGGGATTAAAGGTGTGCGCCAATACCGCCCGGTGAGACAGACTTTTTAAAAAAAAAGATTTTATTTTATTTTATTTTATTTTATGTGCATTGGTGTTTTGTCTGCATTCATGTCTGTGTGAGGGTATTGGATCCCCTGGAACTGTAGTTACAGATGGTTGTGAGCTGCCATGCAGGTTCTGAAAATTGAACTCAGGTCCTCTGGAAGAACAACCAGTGCCCTCAACCACGGAGCCATCCCGCCAGCCAAAGACAAGAACTTTGTTGTATAGCCCAGGCTCACCTGTAACTTGCAACCCTTCTGCCTCAGCCTCCTGAGTGCTGGGATAATTATAGGCATATCCACCATGTCTACCAAATCCTATGTTGTTAATTAAATATATGTCTAAAGGTTCTTATTCTTTTACCTTTTTGTTTGTGACCAAAATATCACAGGAAAAAATAAAACACAGATTAAAAGTTTTTCTGAAAGCATGTAATAGAAAATACAGAAACCATTAGCTATTTGAAAAGATTCATATAAAAAGAACCACCTTATTTTACTAGTATCTTTTTCGTGAGAGAGGAATGGGGGTAATCATGAATCAGAATTAAAAAGCCATCAATATGGTAATTCCCTATTGCTGAAGACAATATCTACACAATCACTGAACATAGATTAGTTGACAGCTGGTGCCTACATAGAGCCCCTACTGACTAGTGTACTAGAAAGTACTCTTCATGCTACCAGAAGAGAAAGGTAAACACCAACCCAGCTATAAACCCTGCTATTTACAATGGTGACCTGACTAAATGATGGTCAAGATCCTGAGACTACATAGGCCACAGACATAGGGAAAATGAAATACTACTGTTCTGTCAATGGAGCATAGCAAGAAAATGACTCCCAATGACATTCTGCTATACTCATAGATCAGTTCCTTGCTCAGCCATTATCAGTGAAGCTTCTTCCTGCAGTAGATGGGAACCAATAGAGACCCACAACTGGACAGTGTGCTCAGAGTCAGAGATCTTGGAACACTCAGTTCTAAGTGAAGGTGTCTCCACTAAATAATAGAGTTCCTTTCATATAATATATTCTGATTACACTTTCCCCTCTCTTCACGGCTGGGAACTCTACAGAAGAGGGGGCAGAAAGATTGTTAAGAGCCAGGAAGGATAGCAAGGAAACAAGGCTTTGTAGACACAACAGGATTGACATACACATGAAATCACAGAGACTGTGGTAGCATGCACAAGTCTAAGCCAGATAGTGCCCCAGGGCTGAGAGCGGAAGTAGATACAAGCCTCCATCCACAAACCAGAAGCTATCTCCAGTTGATAATCACATGCAAAGAAAACTCAGTTCTCTCCAATGGAGTCTCCCTGAATACACAAAAGCAGACTAAGGGCAGGCCCATGCCTAGCAGTAGATGGTCAACACAAACCGAACTCAATGGTATTTTTGGAGGTTTTTTGTCTCATAATGCTTTGTCAGAGCAATTAAAAACAAACAAACAAACAAAACCTCACAGATCTTACATATTGTGGTTTCTGATTTTATTTTTATAGGTTTTCTATATGTGCAAATAGGTGTGTCTCAGTGTCTGCGTTTCTTGTACTTTTTTCTTTGACTCTTTTTGTCCTGTTGGTTCATTTTCTGCTATTCCGGGTTGTTTATTTTTATTTCATTATTATCACTATTATTATTCAGATGCTTGTTTGTTTTCTAATGAGAGAAAGAAAGAAAGGGTGTGGACTCGAGTTTGTAGGGAAGTGGGGAGGAGCTGGGAGAGGGGAAAACGTAATCAGAATATCTTGTATGAAAGAAAATCTATTTTCAATTAAAAATAAAAAAATCAAGAAAACAAATGAACCTATTTAAAAATGAGGTATAGAACCATATAGAGAGTTCTCAAAAGATGAAAAACACATACTTAAAAAAAAATGTTCAACATCCTTAGTCATCAGGGAAATGCAAATTAAAACTACTTGAGATTTCATCTTACCCCAGTCAATGACCAAGATTAATAAAACAAGTGAAAGCACACTCTGGAATGATTCAAGGAAAGGGAAACACTTATTTACTGCTGGTGGGAGTGCAAACTGGTACAGCAACATAGAAATCAGTGTGGAGGTTCCTGAGTAAGCTGTGAATTGATCTATCTCAAGAGCTAGGCTATAACACCCTTGGGCATATACATCCTACTACAGAGATATTTGCTCATCTATGTTCATTGCTGCTCAACTCGTAACAACCACAAATTGGAAAGATTAAATGTCTATCAACTAATGAATGTACACTGAAAATGTGGTATATCTGCAGAATTGAAATATTATTTGGCTGTTTAAGAAAAATGATACTATGAAATCTGAAGGCAAATCAAGCTAGAAACAATCATCCTGAGTGAAATAAAACAGATCTCAAAAGATAAATGTTGCATACTTTAGCTTATATGTGGATGTTAGCTTTTAAGCTTTAGATATGCACTTCAATTACAATAACCACAGAGGTTAGGTAGCTCATAAGGACTAAGGAAGAGATTTTCCAAGGAAAAAGAAATAGAATATAGTGTAATAAAGAGATAAAGGAGAAACTAGAATAGAATTAAATGTCAAGATGGGTGAGAGAAAAGGGGAAAGGAGGGAATATGGGAAGGGACAATTAACCTACTACCATAGAAGCTTCCTAAAATATACACATATATGAAAGTGGAGCCACTATATAATAGGGATGACAATGCCCCAGTTAGACATTTTATGTCACCAAGTAAACGCCCCTGTGGAAGAAATGAATCTTATAGAGATGTTAGCCAAATGTATTCCATAGACTCTTAATACCACGGACAATTGTCAAATCTATTGATAACCTGCAGTAAGTCCCTATTGTTGAAGACAACACTTACTTGTGTCATTGAACATGGAGAAACTTAACTGGTGCCCAACTAGAAGCTCCACTCCTACTCACTACTTATGAGGTACTTTTCATGATACTGGAAGAGAAAAGTAATCATCAACCTCACCCAGTTACAAACCATGTGACCTACAACAGTGACCTGCCTACAAGATATATTGGTGCAATATTAAGGGAGTAACCAACCAATTTTTGGTTAGAATTCAAACCTTGAAATTCAGGTGGCAGTGGTGCACGCCTTTAATCCCAGCACTTGGGAGGCAGAGGCAGGTGGAGCTTGTGAGTTTGAGGCCAGCCTGGTCTATAGAGTGAGTTCCAGGACAGTAGGGCTGTTACACAGAGAAACTCTGTCTTTGAAAAAAAAAAAAAAAAAAAAACCCAAAAAACCTTGAAATTCAATAGTTCATGTGCTTAGGGAAAAACTTACTACCACTATTCTGTGGAAGGAACACAGCAATAAAATGACTACTAATGACATATCACTATACCCATAGATCAGGGCCTTGCTCAACCCTCATAAGACAAGTTTCGGAAGCTTTTTCTTGCAGTGGATGGGAACACAGAAACCCACAACTGTACAATATATAGAGACAGACACTTTGGAGCATTCAGTCAAGAATGGGATATCTTTATCAAACCTCTCCCAACTCAAAGCTTCAAGATTCACATTAAAAGGAGGCAGGAAGGTTTTCAGAGCCATAGGTAGTGGGTAATTGCAAGGAAACAGCGTTTTCTAAATGTGTCTGACAGCAAGCATAAGACCTGCACAAGTTCAAACCAGACACGATAACAGCATGGAGAAAGAAAACTTGACACAAAGTCCTACTGCTCATCAAGAAGCTATTTGCAATTCCTATCTGCTAGCAAAGGGAAAATTAGTTTTCTCCACTGGACTGTCATTGGATCTATCAACCACATTCCAGGGCAGGCTGATGCCCAGGTATAGCTGGCCAACATAAAACAGACTCCATGTATTTTGTGTGTTTTTTGCTTTGTTTTAGTATTCTTTTTTGGTTTTTTGTCTTGTTTTGATTTTCTTCCTTCTTTTTTATTTTTGAGAGTGAGAGAGCGAGAGCGAGAGAAAGCATGAAAATGGGGGTAGGGAAATAAGAATGATGTGGAAGAAGCTGGACAGTGGAAAGAATATGATCAAAATGTATTGAATGAAATAAAATTTTTTAAAAAAATCACTCCTAAAATTTGCCCAGAAAGAACATTCAACTGTAAAGGGAATTCCAAAGTCATATTTCTAAATTATAATGCTTTGGTGTATAAAGAACAATTTTTGAACACTAACATGTGTCCAGCACATCCACTTATGAGGCAGGCAAATCCTCCAAAAGTTTCTGTTTACAGGAAAGGGACAACTAAATAATGCACTGATAATTTCAACAACTAATTTGTTTTACAAAGATAATAAGGTGAGATATTAAAACTAGGTGTACTGTAGATGGGGCAGATGTCTTCTGAAAGAACTACAGAGAAATCTCCTGAGATCTTGAGTTGGGATAAGAATGCTTACACAGAGGTAGGAGTATCTGAAGGAGAAGGCAAGGCAAAGTCTTTAATATGGCAGCAATGGATGGATCTGAGGGACAAAAACCCAGTATAAACAGAGCAGAAAGAGTAAGTGTAGACTGGAGAGCTAGGATTAGAGGCAGGCAAAGGTTTTAGAGGTCAGGTTAAGGATTTGTTTTGGAAAGATATATTGGGAAATGCAGAATCTGAGAGTAGGGAAAATCTGAATGATATTTTAGAAACATCCACTGCTTTATACAGAATAGAGGGAACAAGAGGTTACAGCAAAAAGGGGGCTAAAGAGAAACTTCTGTTTTATCTAAGGCTCATGCTAAAAATAAAACCAATTATTTATCTATATTTCTCTTAAGTTCCTCTTTAAAATACAATGTTACTAAGGCTGACAAATTTGAAGATTTGTAATCTTCGAATGACCTAGTCATTTCATTTTAAAATTACTAATTTCTAATTTCAAATTTAATTTAACCCTTAAAAAAATCTGGCACTTGAAAAATTGAACTAAGTGATTTGAATCACTTGACCTTTTGAATTAAACTTCATCTATCTGATCAATGAGTCAAGATGAATAGGGACAGCTACCACAAGTGAAGCAAAGCACGACCAGGCTGTATTCCCTATAAAGGAACTGCACATTACGGAAGATAAAAAAGGCTTATTAATGATGTCTGAGTCTTCACTTGAACAATTACTTATATCAATTGCTTAAAAAAAAAAATGGCAGGCTGGCAAAGGAAACAGAATGTTCAATGGGACTTAGGGCATTAAAAACAAAATAAAACAAAGGAAAAAAATCCCTAGCAACTAGAAGTTAATTAAAGAAATATAGGGGTTTCTTTACTTCTGTGCATCAATTTTTATAGCCTGATAAAGGAAAATCATAGAGGAATAAATATAGATAACTTCTTATAGCATCAGTGCTTAAATACACACTGTACCGCTACAAACTTATTTTGCTCAATTCTGAAAATTTGCACTTTTTCTTGAAAAAAATATATTATGTCCCAGCATTACAAAATGTCATACTCAAAATGGATAGTGTTTAATTGATATCTACTAAAGGATATTATCTAGAACAGGGTTAAGCATAGCTTTTTACAAGAGCTGGATAAACATCTTGGGTTTTATGAGCACAACATGGTGTCTTTTTCAGACAGCAAATTCTGATACTGCAGAGTAGAAGCAGGACCCACAAAAAATGAAAAATTAGCCACAGCTGTTACTACAAAACTTTACCAACAGATATAAAAATCTAACTTTATGTAATTTTAGTGTGCTGCAAAACATTGTAATTTTTTTTTTTTTTTTTTTTAACACAGGAAGAAATGTAGGGCTGGGGCTAGAACTCAAGAATAGTGCTTGACTGACAAACACAAGGCCCTGCTTTTAAACTTCAGCACTGGAAAAAGAAAAAAGAACAACTTCACCTCATTCTTACTATATTAGCTTCATAGTGCATGGTTTACATACGACCCACAGCTTCAAATAATCATTAATGAAAATGCAGTTCTTTCATCTTTAAACAAAGTCTATTTTATTTAATTTTGATAGGGTCTCTCAATGTCGTCCTGGCTGTCCAAGAACCTGCTATGTAGCCCAGGCTTGCCTCAAGAGACCTGTCTAAAGCCGGGCAGTGGTGGCGCAC